CATGTGATTAGTAGGACGTTCCCCCGTGGAGCACATGCTCTGCCCTCCAAAGGTCCCCTCAGTTCCCTCTGGCTTGGAATCGTCTCACCAGTCTCCCTGCAAGCGCCGGGCGAAGAGATGATACCTTTCTCCAGTCCGATATGCCCCTCCATGCAGGGAAATTTACTATTATCATGAACCATCTCGATACCCAACTTGAAATGACTATGGGGATCAATACCACCACTACCACCCCTACTGTCACGAAGATTGGACTGAGCATGTCTATTATGATGAACCAAGAAGGGTGAGATATGCCTTGCCACCCCTGTACTCACCTTTCATATCACCGCCACAACACTGACATCGTTCATTCACGATGTATCCAACATCGATTCACCATACATTGATCCCTACGAAATCAGCTCTCAAACGCACTCTCCCGGTACCAGATTCTCTACTACAACCTAAACGAAGTAAGCACTCTTCCAGACACTCTCGACATCATATATCGCTCCAGGTCACCACCACCTCCCTCCTGACATCAAACAGCACCTGGTATCAAGCACACCTCCACCTCCACCATCACAACCATCTGCATCGCTAACCAAACCACCATACTGATCACCATCCTCACAATCCTCTCTTTCTACTCAAGATTCAACATCCGGTATATCCCACGAATCACTAATTTACCAAATCCATCTTCTGATGTGGGCGAAAACCATCCACCATCCCCATCAGAAGATTTCCCATCTTATTCTCAGCTCATCATGCGAATGGCAAAGTCTTTACAACTCGATATCAAAGAACCACCACCTCAAAAGAAAGACCTGGTCTTCAGTGATCTCAATCAGGATAAGACACCACCCCTTAGCTTGAGTTTCATCCTGGCTATGCTCGATTTAGTAAAAGAATCATGGGACAAAGCTCCCTCCTCCCTTCAGATTTCGAGACGCGTTGAAAATCACTACAAAACTCATGGCCTGGACACAGCTTTTCTCTCCAAACATCCAACACCAAATTCAATTATTGTGGAATCTACGGTAATCAATCAAGAGCACGTAATAAATCATCCGTAGCTCCCACCAACCGAGAAGGAAGAAAGCTAGACATTCTCAGGAGATGACTATTCTCTCATGGCATTTATCATGAGGGTGGCTAATTATCAAGCCACTATGGGTGCATACCTATCATTCAAGTGGTCCCAGACACCACCAAGAATGAGGCCTTAAATATCCGCATTGAGGCCTCAACCTTTGCTAAACAGCAGAGAATTACTTCCCGCCATACCGCGGACGCGGCCTCTAAAGCTATGTCCACCTCTATTCCCTTGAGGCTCCACACCTGGATGAGATTGGCCGGTATCTCACATGATACCAAGTCAAGGATAGAAGACCTTCCATTTGATGGTGCTGGCCTTTTCAATACTAACACAGATGAAGTAATGGATAATCTTCATAAACTCCATAAGACAGCACAGTCATATTCCACCCAAAAATCTTACCAACAAACTTACTGGTATCGGCACCCTCAAATCTGAAGACAGCCTTTCTTTCACCAGCCGTTTCAACCTTACCAACAATCATATTGACTGTACAAACCACAAGCTTCTGCTGGATCCTATCCTGGTCCATCTGCATCTACAACACTTGCTTTTCGACCTCAACAGCAACAACCACACTGACAGCCGTTTCTACCAACAATCATATCGACTGTACAAACCACAAGCTTCTGCTGGATCCTATCCTGGTCCATCTGCATCTACAACACTTGCTTTTCGACCTCAACAGCAACAACCATGCTGTGCTGCATTTCGACGCCCTCAAAAGAAGGGTAAGCAATATCCGTAGACCCCTTCTATCTACATTCCAAACTAGACTTCATCCATTCTTCAGTGCTTGGCGCCGAATCACTAATGATCAGTGGGTTCTTTCTATTATCCAAAATGATTACAGTGGGGTCTTGACTTAAGAACGGCTTGAGTTAAGAACATTTTGTTGGAGTACTCCGCCCTATTCTCAATCTTAGAAACCTTAATAAATTCATTTGACCTAGATACTTCAGAATGCTGACCCTCGACACTATCATCCCTCTCCTTTCACAGGGAGACTGGTTTGTCGTCATCGACCTCCAGGATGTGTACTTTCACATCTCTATCCATCCAACACCAAGTGTCAGCGGTATTGCTCCGGAGCCGGTATTGGTAGGAACTCACTCAGAGACGTCTTTATGATGGACTGGGTCAGAGACCTACTGTACCTATTCCCTCTGATTCCACTCATACAATGAACCATCTTTCAACTTTGACAGTTCCACTCGAATGCCATCCTCCTTGCTCCATGGTGGCCGCATCAGCCGTGGTTCACCCACCTGAGGTCAATATCGACCCATGTGTTCCATCTCCCGTCTATCTCCAACCTTCTAACCCAGGACAAAGGGATAATTTACCATCCCGACATAGATTCTCTGAACCTGACAGACAGCATGGTGGATACTCCCGATAAAAAAATGTACTAGATCGAGCCCAAAAGCCATCGATCCAACGATTATACCAAAGCAAATAGAAAGCATTCCTTTCTTTTGCTTATTCTCAGAACTAACTTACATCGCTGGTTTCTCTGAAGAGTTTACTTACCTTTATCCTTCATTTCTGATCTTGGGCTATCTCATTCTACCCTCAAGGTGTAAATTTCTGCTATTATAGCCCATCAGCCTTCTCAGTCAGACTTGGCTAGGTTTTTCTCTCACCCAAATTTGAAGAACTTCCTGAAGGGACTCCATAATATTCATCCCCCACGTCAACATCCTCTTCCTCAATGGTCTTTGCAGCTTGTCCTCAACGCGCCTACCTTTCAAACCAATGGCTACTACAAATTTCAAATTACTTTCCCTAAAAACTTCCTTCTAGCAATAACATCTGCTAAACATGCTAGCAAACTCGCAGCCCTCAGATCGGACCCACCTTTCCTTCAGTTCCACCCAGATAAGGTTACCCTCCATTATGATATATCATTTTTACCCAAAACCGT